CCCCCCAAAATTGTTCCATTTATCATCAATCTCGAGTCTATCTATCTGTCTATCTATCTGTTAATTGTAATAAAAATTGTTTCACCTTTTCCAGGTGCACAGTCACTAATGAATTTCTAAAGAAGACCAAAAAGAGCAGAGAAGCAAAACTAACGGTTATCTCGAGGGCAGAGAGCAACAATTCGCGCACACCATCGTCTTTGTTTCCACAATTATTGTACAATCATTGGCTGCTTAACGGGTCGAGTCTGGATTTAGTGTGCGCCGCATCTGGTTATCCATCGCCGCTCATAACATGGTCGTTTATTCCTCGTTACGTAGGTAAGTAATCAGAACCGCACGCGTCGAGTTAGAACGCGAGGAATGAAACGTCTAATTCGCGCCGACCACGTGTGTTACGTTCTCAGATAATGTTACGCAACCTCGCATTCTCCTCAATTCCACCACCGGCATCGGCATACTGTCGCTGACAAACGTGAACGTTTCCCATGCCGGTGTCTACCTGTGTTCTTCGAAGAATCCGATCACCAATGACTTAGAAGTACAGGTGGGTGCACACAGTCGCGGAGAAACAAAAGAGAAAATGATATTTAGAGCAGGGATCGCGAATTCACCTTTCCACTTCGGTTCCTTGCAGAATATAACCGTAGACATACTGATACCGCCGTCGTTCCTGAAAACTCCGACGAACCAAATTTGTCCGAATGGGAGGACAGCGAGGTTTGAGTGTCAGGCGCAAGGATTACCCGTACCTCAGATTTATTGGCTGAAAGACTCTTCAAATATTACTATCAACGGTAACGGTCGTCCTAACGATAGCTGTCGCAATTATTACGGCTGTGACACGATGAAAAAATATAAGGAATAAAGAGTTAAATCTGGGGAATTAGGAACAAGGAATTAAATGTCGATATGTGGACAACCATGTCTTAATCCACAATAGACAAATAAGGAATTGAGATCAGGAATATTGTCGAAATTTTATTTTATTTTCCTTATAACTTGTGCTTGTGGAGCTTAGCGATTGACTGATAGTTAACCTTCAAAATGTCCAATGATTATTAATATACAAGTAAAAATTAATTTGAAAATGATAAAAGTGTTAATGATGACAGTAGAGATTCATAAAGAAAAATAAACATAGTAAAAGTGTTGATCCCGTTTTAAAACGTTCTTATATCTTATTTTCTATTTTATTGTGTTTTAAGCTAAAGCTTATTTTTAATATCTCATTCCTAATTTGCTGTATTTAATTCCTTGTTTCTTGTTCCTTTTATCGTGTCTGATCCCTTAGGGCGATATTCATAGTCCTATATTTAAATCTTCAGTTCATCTTCAGATGCTGTACGATTTATTTCGCAGCATCACGAAGACGAATTTAAGACGATCTTAAATATAAAATCTGACCATAGGCTCTGGCCTCAGACTCACCGCGATTTTCACGATGAACTTATTCTCTAACCCATCATCCTACGCATCGACAGGTCGCAGAACGACTTACGTTAAGGAATACAATAAAATAGAGCTAGCAATATCGGCAACAGTACCGAACGACACTGGCATATACCAGTGCGTGGCGGTGAACTCAGCGGGTGAGATTTGGGCCGCTGGCCGGCTCCAAGTGAATACGTCGCGCAATAGTCCCGCTGCGCCCACTTCTCTAAAATGTCATGCCGTTTCGCCAGTTAGAATCTTAATTTCTTGGGAACCACCAAAGTCTCTACCATATACCAGTATTACAGCTTATACCGTCCATTATAGTCCTGTAGGTGAGTTGGGTCGTACATCTCAGGATAAGTATATTATATAACGTCAGATTGGCGTGAGAGGCTAGTCGCGTTTCTCGGATGAAATTGTAAACGAAATTATCCGGTTAAGAAGTATCCGTAATTTTCACGAATAAAATATGTAATATGTATTTTATACATATATATAATATATATGTAATATATATATGATATATACATAAATATATATGTATAATATATATATATATATATATATAAATAATATTTTGTCTCGGTACTTTTCTATATGTCTAACGAGATCGTCCCATTTCAAACGCCAAAACCAGCGGCTCCTCGAGCGAGAATTCAATAAAGAAACGGCGAATCTTTCGCACTAGCCTGAGAGAACCGAGAATCTCACGTGATCTCATTATACATTGCGCACTCACTCACCTGATACGCATTCCCGATAACAGAGGGTGGCAAGGAGGAAGTTTCCCCACCGGAACCAGGAAACTCTACATCCGTAGAAGTAACGAAGCTTCTCGAACCGTTTACAAATTACTCGTTCTACGTACGAGTGTGGAATAATTATGGTGCTAGCGATCAATCGGCTACCATTCTGTGTTCCACCGCTCCAAGTGGTACGCGCGATTCCTAATTACATTCGTTATTTTATTTTTTTTTTTTAATCATCCAGAATAACCGAACGCCCTCTCCGATGATCACGCTGTAAACCGATCGATTTTTCCACCGCAGTTCCTAAAGGCGCACCAAAAATAAATGTGGATATAATCAGTAGTACAAAGCTAAATGTATCATGGGAGCCTTTGAGTAAGAAGGAATCTCGTGGCATCGTGGTAGAATATAAACTTCAGTGGAGACTTCACCAACACCCATCTTCCAGAGTATGCCAGTTACCTGCTACTATCGAATACCATATACTTTCTGGTACGATATATCACATTGTGTTGTGCGCACTGTATTTTTCCTCTTTGATCCGGCGAGATCCGACGTCACCTTGTCATACATTGCAGACCTGATACCTGGAGCACAATATGATCTGCGAGTGTTGGCGAGAACCAAGCAGGGTTGGCCGAACATCAGCGAGACGCAATTCGAGTGGATCACCGTGACCATGCCGTCGCCTGAAACCAATCAATTTACCATAAGGAACGTTGTGGATATTCAAGTACTAATAGTAAACGCCTCGTTAGTTAAGGTTAGCGCGAAACAAATGTTCATCGCTCGTCGACTCAGATTCGAGATTCTTTATAATTGCTCCGCTTTCACTTAACGCTTCTCCCGTTCTCCAGCTGAAATGGAAGATCAACTTCAAGCAGAACGAATCGGACTTCGATTCCTGGCAGATTTATTGCGAGAATCAAGACGGTGAGAAATTGAAGACTATTTTGCTGCCGCAGAACATCACCGAGTATCTGTTCACCAATCTTGGTAAGTGTTCTGTGTTAATTAGGACTAGAAGGCTGGAAATTATATTCGAAGCTGTGTCCCTTCGGATTCCGGAGCTTTCGACATATTGTATTCGAATAAAGAGAACTTGTAGCGTGAAAATTCGAACTTCCGGATATTCGAATGTTCTGTACAGCTTCAATATTTTGAATCTTCAAATAGAGCTCGAAGTTTCGAATAATTCGACTTCGAAGCTTCGAAAATATCGAATAGTTCTAGTATTAATGTTCTCGAATGATATTGAGATCCTTTGAACAGCATTGTTGTGCAGAATAAAATTACCATCTTCATGTCTCTCCAGATATGAATGTTTCTTACACCATGGGTCTGTGTATGGTGAGTTCGGGTCAAGCAACAGGTTGCTTGACGAGACACGTAGAGACAACGCAGTCCGATCCCGGTAAGTTTCGCCCGGCTCTCTGCAGATTCGCATTCTGAGCAGGCGATGAAAATGCACGCGACTTTGCGACTAATGTGCAACCACTCGTCACTTAGGTGATGTACCAATGGCTTTGGAGGCTACCCCCGACTCACCCACGTCCATTAACGTAACGTGGACATTGTTGGACACACACGGTGTAGATTCGTTCGAGCTTTGTTATCACGCGGTGCATGTACAAAATTCCGACAGTTCCAAGTGTTTTATCATGTGAGTACACCTCGATCGTGCCAACGAGAACATTATCGTGCATATTAAATACCCACATTAGGGGGGGTGAACATTTTAAGATGAACTTCTTCATCTGTGATTTGTACTTTTATATATACGTACGCGTCATTTTTATCATATCACATGTTTTTCAATACAGAGACGATATGAAGGTAAACGTTGACAAGCTGAAGCCTTTTACATTGTACCAGTTCAAAGTGCGAGCCATTCGACACGACACGAATCAAACCAGTCTCTATAGTGAGTCCATAGAGTGCTACACGAACGAAGATGGTAAGAGAACAGAGAAGAATCGTCATCCGAGACAACGATCTACACGCCCGGTCGTCTTCGTGTCGCTTTAAAAATGAATGTTTCAGTACCCGGCAAAGTCGAGAAAGTGGAGTGGTTCTTGGGCAACAATACCAAAGTGCGAATCGCGTGGAAGGAGCCGAGTAACGTGAACGGGGTCATACAGAGTTACTTCGTCACGTACACCATGGACCTGGCGACGGAGACGACGGTGATGTGGCGTAACGTTACTGTGCCCGGCAACAAAACGTCCGCGACTCTACCGGGTCTGGCGCCGGGGAAACGTTACTTCGTCATGGTGCAAGCGGCGACGAAGGCCGGATACGGGAAACCGTCGGATCCCATTATCATTATCACCGGTGGCAGCACGTCGAGGCCCACCTCGTCCGACAAGAAGGAGCCCTCGCAAAATATCAGTCCCGATCAGAGTCTAGGTGAGACAAGCTCAGTCGAGTTCTGCTTACTTCTGCTTACGATTAAATTTACCGTCAGGCAGAAGAGAGAGAGGGAGAGAGTTCTATCTTCTTCGGAGTACATAAATTCAAAGCAACATTCTGACCAGTTCTTCAGTCTAAATTTACGTTTTATGCTTACGGTTAAGAATTAAGCTCGACGATTCATTTCTGTCGCGATAGGTGTGGTCCTCGGAGTGAGCATAAGCATCGGCTTCATCATGATATGCCTGTGCAGTATATACTGCCGGCGCAAGTACGAGAATTCCCGTTCGTTCCGCAACGACGCCCAGCCGACGAACGGGCGCGTACTGTCGCGGAACGGGAATGGCTGCTGCGTGGAGCAATCCTCCGCTTCGGCGAGCCAGCAGGTGAACGCTACTGGCGACGGCGCACCGAACGAGATCGAGCTGGCCGTGCTGTGCCCGTCGTCCCCGATCGAGACGAATCCGCATTCGGACGCGAAGGTAACCGAACCCGGTCGGCAACTTGATATCAAGTCTCTTTCTCGACGCAACTAAGTGACATGTAATACGCGATTTCTACTGTGTACAGGGTGCGCAATCCAACGGGGTCTTCGAGAATTGCGTGAGAGAGCCTCTGTTGTCGCCGTGGGAGATAAACGGAGACTCGAAGGACGTTCACATTATGGAGAACCCTCAGGTATGCCGGGGAAGAGCTTTGACTCCTGGTGCTGTGAACGGCCATGGGGGGTTTCGTTTGTTCATCCTGCGAATCGTGATAACATTATTGGGTGCATTCGATATTAACATCGCTTATTAAGTGCTCTTGGGTTGTGAAATTTAATTTGTTCGTACGTTTGGGTGTTGATCAAATCAATGAAAGTATTTATCAAAAAGTCAAGTCCCTCAAAGCTTCATCACTCTGATGCCCGTTTCTACCAACATCAATTAACCTGAGTTTAAGTCTTTGAAGGGAGTTTAAATTCTAGCTGAAGTTTAATGAAAATAATTAAAATCGAACTAAGTAAAATATTTATAAATATTTAAAATAAATTTGAAGAGAGAGAGAGAGAGAGAGAGAGAGAGAGAGAGGTTGGTAGAAAGAGCACGAGTGCTCAATGAGCGGTCGTGGCATGGGATGCGCGCGCATCGCTTTATCAACAAATGATTGGCTACCAATTTTTACCGGCCTTTTCCCCGTCACGTTGCAGTACAAAAGGAGAGGCAGTTCCATCTCGGATAATCCGCGGGAGGACGAGGAGGAGGAGGAGGACGGGGAGGAGCAAGATTTAGAAGGCACTCAGCTCACAATGGTCAATTGTACTTTAGGCAGTAGCGCTAGCAGTCTAAATAACAACTCAGGATGCCCGGACGGGGAGATCGCGTCGCCGAAGGCCGCGTGCGTGTCTATCCCGGCGCTCGGACCGAACGGGTGAAAGAAAAGCGCGTTTATAGGCAATACGCTAAAAGTGTTCAATACTTCTCACCGGGTCTATCGGGTCGCAGCAGGTAGGAGTACACGAATTCTCCCGTTTTTTCATCCACACACACACACACACACACACACACACACACACACACACACACACACACAGGTTGACACACAGCGAATCGACTGATTCTCCCGGTCGAGAGACGCGCAACGAGATAACTCTTTCCGGCACTCCCGAGAAAGAAAGAGGAAACGTAAGATCGATGCAACGGAAAGACCGCCACACAACCTCGCAGATCCGACGCGCGATTTCCATCTCGTGCATAGGGACGAACGTCGTCCGCCACTCTGACACACGCACCCACGGCCGATGTAAATGACAACCGTTTCGAGGAATCCGAGTGAGCAGTAGTCGCTACGTTGTACATACTGACCGCGCAGAGTAACGCGCGTTTCGTCGCGCGGGTTGTCCGAGAGCGGACGAAAGAGAGGCGCAGCTCGGCGAGAGCGAAGGACGATTTGTCGAAGACTCACTCTGCATCGCACGGTCGCTATGAGACCGCGAGAGAAATGCGATGCAGACGATACTTAAGAGTGTGTTTTGCCAGACGCTCGTATATTTAAAGGGATACGCGTATAAGGGAATGGTGTGTGACACTTGTCGACGGGTCGGGAATTGAGAAACGGAAGGAGAGAGCGAGAGGATATATATGAGAGAGAGAGAGAGGGAGAGAGGAGGACGGAGTACGGATTTTTACAGAGAACCGGACCGGAATGAAATAGCAGGTTTCCAATGCCGCTGTACATAGGATAGGGTAATTGTTAATTGTGAATAATGTCCATAAAATATCACAGTTCGAAATACAGAGTGTAATACAGAGAGGGGAGACACGCGAATATGCATTCCTCCGCGTTCGGAAACACAAAATTGCTATTGAAAACGAAAGAGAGAGAGAGAGAGAGAGAATTTACACCCAGACAACAAGCATGGCCTAAAAACTCAGTCGACAAAGTTTCACGTTAATATTTTAATTAGTGTAATCCTCCTCGGGCTGACGACAAAGGTCGTACGACAAGGTCGTACAAGGGTTGCTTGGAAAAGGAAAAAAAAGTTGAAACAATGACACTGATCACACATTCCAACACAAGTTTTCCGTTGGTATAATATATATATATATATATATTATATATATATATATATTATATACACATATATATATTTAACTGTAAACAAAGAGGAAAAAGCTTTTAGTATTAAGAGAGAGAGAGAGAAAAAACAGGGAAAGGCTCTAACCAGATGCTACGCGTTTTAGAAACGTTAAGGAAGAGTTTTTTTTTATTTCGCGTTTTTTCCTATTTTCTTCCTTTGTTTTTCCATTTTCTTCTTTTTTTTCTTTTCATTCTTCTTCTTCCTTACCATATGTGTGTCATTAATGCGAGACGTCGTTTTATTTCGCGAAAACGATTTCTTCATGAATCGAAGTTGAATTTCTTTCGCGTTTGGAGCTAATCGTGGATCGCACGATCGACGAGAGAGAGAAAGAGAGAGAGAGAGAGAGATTTGTCGAGCGGCTCCGAAACTATTTAACGTAAGTTTTTTTGGATTAGTTTTTAAAGTGGACATAAGTCAAGTATATCCGTACTGTTTTGAATCAATGGTCAAAGATCCTATGAATGGGAAGAATACGCAGAGAGTAATAATAGAACGCGCGCTCGGGACGGCATTCGCGCGAATTCGCGAACGCGTGCAAACGCGACGGATCATTTTCATTCTCTCATCCGATCATTTACTTCGATTGTAATAAGAGATCTTAAAGACTGGTGTACATTAATAGACGATATTTTTATAATTAACCGATAACTCCCTCGGAATTAACGTGTATAAGACGAAGACTTTTTTATATATATACATACACACACGCACTCCTTCCTGGATTTCTTTCCGTTCATAAGATTGACATATATAGGTTTTCCTTTTTTTTACTATTATTATTATTTTTCTTCTTTTTTTTTCTTTAGACGATTAGGCAGTCACACGTACGATTAACGTATTCGGTGACTTTTTATTTTACGATATTTAGCATGTTAAAAAAAAACTGGTAAAGCAGTTCTATGTATCGCGCGAGTAACTGAAAGAAAGAGAGAGAGAGAGAAAGAGAGAAAGATTGAGAGGAAAGGAAAGCAACAACAGCAGCACGAGACGAAAAGAACCCACAAGACACATATTCCAGACTGGTGCATGTTACCATGACAGAGAGAAAAAAAGAACCCAACACAGTACCTGATAGAGTAAGCTATATCTTTTTAGAGTGAGACGTAGAGACATGTCAATGTTATTACTGTACCTCCACTAATAATTGTTATTTATTACATTTTACATTCAGTAATATTTTAGACGAACACAGCACACCACACCACCACCATCCACTACCACCCACCACCACCACCACCACTGCCATCACCACCACCACTACCACCGCCACCACCACCACCACACAAAAACACACACCGGATTATGCAATAATAATAGTCACCACGAGCAACACACGTACTGACACACACACAGTACGAGAGCAAATAACACTAGAATTAATTCGAATCTGCACATACTAAAGACTCTATATATATCATATCTCCATTCCATAGAACATTTACCGCGCATCTCCTCATAGCAGAGAGTCCCCTTCCCCCCTCTCCCGCCCTCCCCTCGTTAGTAGTCTAAATATATCGGAGGCGTTCTCGAAAGTATTTTTCTTCTTTTTTTTTTAACCCTTAGCTAACGAATGCCGCCATATTCGCGAATATAATGTCGCGAATATAATGTCGCGAATATGGCGGCATTCGTTCGCTAAGGGTTAATATTTTAATCTCCTCGCATTTTCACCATGAAAGTCGAAAGTAGTATCAATAGCCCCGCGCCGCTCTATTATATTACAGATATATACATTCATATTTAATGGAAATATTCTGTTATAACTGTGCACCACCACACATACACACACATACACACATGATCTTTACATATTCTGTTGACTAGACATTGCAAATTATTAACAATAGTTCTACATAGTTTACAGTTTTCCCCCCTCCCCTCAGACAGTTCTACCCAGATAGAAAGTTTTATTTACACATGATGCATGGAACTTGTTATGATGTATTATAAATATAATTATGAGAATCTCTCGCAGATCGCATACAAATATATATTGAATTTATTATATTCTTATTACGGATTATCCTATTCGCGGCGGTGAGCGTGCGAGCCCGTTCGCCCGTCCGTCCGTCGCGAAGAATGTGTTGCGCACTCGATGTCTGGTTTATGATTTTATTTAATTAATCTGGTGAAAGAGAAAAAAACGAATAGTACGCAGCGTCGTATCGCAGGTAACGCCGTTGTCCGTTGATTGAGAAAACGATCGGCCGTTACGGGCCAGTCTTTTCTCACGAGAGACGCCAACAACGACGTCGGCTGTGTGGCGTGATTGCGTTATTAATTAGTCTGTTTTGCGTTTGTGTTATCGTATAATAACCTAACCTGTTACATTTTATATTATTTCCACATTTGTTGATCATATATACATTCCCCCTCCCCCCTTCCCCCCTCCCTATATGCTTTCTCACGTGTACTTCTTTTTTTTCTTGCATTTGTTGAACGGTATATTTTTAGAGAATTACTCTCAGCGTTGACGGTGTGAAACCAAACCGGTGTGTAATAATGTAACGAGTAGAATCAGGACGCTGAAACGTCGATCGTTCCTCGGTGAGAGAAATGTCAGGAGGTATACGATGGTGGTTGAACGCGGGTATCCGCGGCGAGCAGTCGAACACAGGCAGGTCCGGGCTCGACTCTTAGCTCTGAGGCAATATTCTCCCGCCACATTAATTGCATCCGAAATGGAACGAGTAAATGGGTAAAATCAGTAGTGCAGAAGTCGGAAACTGGTTCGGGGAGATTTACAACTGATCGGTCGCGCGAGGAGGACGGGCGATATTTGAAACATGCTCGGAGGAAAAAGTTGGGTTGAATATCAATGAGTTGGGTAATCAATTTGACGGTGAACGAACCAGAGGCGTTTCGATTAAAGAGAACAGAATTTATGGTTGTAAAAAGCCGAATGAAAAATTTAAATCTTGCGAAGTAAATGTTTCTCGTGACATTTTCCATCAATATTTATTGATTAGAGAAAAATTGGACTCTGATGACGGAATGTATATTTTTGTGAAATATACCTAAGTTTTTTTTATTAATTAATTTATTTGCTAGGAATAACATTTTATTTCGCCGTATTTAAGTGAACGTTTATTTCTGTGAAATAAATCTTACATTTCACAAATGAACCTTTAAGTCTTTTTTTTCTCAGTGCAGAAATTTTGTTTCGTTCAATCAAGGCACCTTTGGTTCGTTCATCGTCCAGTTGGTTCAACCAAATTTTCCCTCTCCGTGTGAGAATTAAACAATTAATCGTTATCCTCTCGCAGATTATGGAAAGAAATTACGCTTCGACGTACCACCCACGTTCGACTATTGTCGTCTCGCGTCTCTTACTGACTTCGATTGCACGGACGGTCGCGTACGGACGTTTGTATTTTTGATCGATTGATCGCATGATTTAATATTACGCAGCGGAAATTCGAGAAGCTACGCTTTCACGTTACTATATAATATTCTACATTTCGAAAAATTAAAAAAAATTATATATATATATATATCTGCAGCGTGCATGATAAAGAATGACTTTTTAAAGCTCTATTGATTATATCAAAAATAAGGATCATCAAAAGAGATTAATTCCGAAGAGAGAGAGAGGGAGAGAGAGAGAGAGAGAGAGAGAGAGAGGTGCGTCGAATGAAAATCTGAGCAGCCAGAGAAAAAAGTATATATATAATGAACGCTAAACGCTTTTCTCGAGCTACTTCTTTGGAACATATGGAAGGGGAATTTCATTGTTTCCCGTGGATCGAAAGTGTGTTTAAAGTTGCGTGCGAGAGAGAAAAAAGTATATATGGAATAATCGTCTTCCTTTCGATGTTATTTAATTCTCTTTTCCTCTCTTTCTCACCAAGTCTCGAGAAAGAAGTGAAAAGAGAACTAGCTGGTGCAGAAACAGAAAACAGATCCTATACTCGATAGTTTCTCTGCTGTGAGCTTTGAACGATATTTATTGAAAAACGTCAATATATAAAAATGCCCACTGTGCATATTGTATTTTGTGCGGCAATAAATCGGTTTCCTATCACGCGCGATTAAATATAATTGTAACTCCCTGTGTCTATTTGTAGCTTCTGTCAATTTTTTTTTTCTCATGCGTAACTTGAACACACTTTCAGTCCATGGAAAACGATCAAGTTCCTTTCCCATGTCTAAGTGTTCTAAGGTTATTTCACTCGTTCTTTTCTTTTTCACACACATATATATATATATATATACACACACATATACACAGGCTTAGGTGATGATAATCGGTCGGGCAGAGTTGTACGAGTATTTTCCGAGAAGTGAATTTCACACATACGCTTACCAAAACTGTCCTCACACATCGTTTCCATTCTTTTCTTTCTTACGTTTTAAGTAGTGTAATGCGCGTAATCGTTATAGTATTCTTTCCGTTATCCGGTAACATTACGTGTATATCCAATTGTACACGCAATCCCGCGACGACGTCATTTCATGTCATCCCCGGGAAAAAATGATTACGTATAATTATGTAAAATTATATATGATTATGTATAAATTTTTTATACATGAATTTTGTCCATATATGGTCACACACATACACACAACCACACACACAAAAATCATAAATATCTATATAAAAAAATTATGTCATTCGTTTAAACGTCAACATCGTGTGCTGAGAGAAGCATTTACTTTGATTGTATAGGATTTGTACATAATATTTTTTTCTTTGTGAACATATATAATTATTCGTGGTTATATATGGTCATATAGAGACAAATTTCATGTATGATCTTTTTCCCGGGTCGCTACATCGTCTAATTAACAAGAAAAATATCACCCTGCGGAGAAAGAGAGAGAGAAAGGTAGTAGTCGCAGCGGCGTGCGAGCGCCCCAAGCCACCCAGCAATCAATAATCTGTAATCGAATACGATCGACACACATTTCGTACTGCATTTTATATACCATGTAACGTTCTCGAGTAATTTCGTGGATGTGATAAGTTTTAGGTGTGAACTACTTGACTACAGAGTCGCCGTGCCGAGAGAGAGAGAGAGAGAGAGAAAGAGAGAGAGAGAGAGAGAGAGAGAGAGAGAGAGAGAGAGAGAGGGGTAAACAGAGAACGCGTCAACTGGTGTACGGGGTGTCCCCATGGAGGTGTCACAGGAGCTGTTGTTTTCACTGCGAGGCTTTCGCTCATTAACAGAGACCGAGACGAGTTTTCCTTTTCTCGCAATCAGTGTTTTCTTGAATCAGTGTTCAATCGCGCCGCTTCGTCCGAAAAAAGAAAAGTACTGTTACGAGTTGTATCGCTGATTATACCTTCCGCCTAATTTCCGCTTTAACTTTACCGCTGTGAAATTAATCGAACCACGAGGGTTAAATAAAAAATTCGCCATCTGCGACTGGGACACTCCGTGCACACACGCACATACATACAAACACACACATACACACACATGTGTGGGATCCGTTAATGTAACATTATCTTAGTACGTACAAAAGCAATAAGCACATCGTCGTGTATAGAGCTCTATTCCTATGAATCACGCATCATGAATCAGAGGTGTAAAGCGATATCATAGATAATAGTGACGCCTTATCGCTATTCTCACTATCGAGACGTTTCGCGCACGCACTCGGGTCGCCGATTACACACCGTGCGTGGTTAATTTGCCCGTGAGAACGGCCGGTCACCTTCGTTTACTTTCGTGACACGTCAACACCCCACCTTGTTGATTCAGGAGTATCGACAATGCGGCAGCCAAAGAGAGGAACTCGGTCTTATCGTTCGTATTCGAATAATCGCCCTTTCATAAACGAATGAAGCTGACGTCGAGTTCGGCGTCATTCGGCTATTTTCTCTCACGCATACATTCACATTCGCATTCTCTTTTCGCGCAAAGCTCGATCCCAAGTAACATTGAGACGTCCAAGGGACGTTCTTTGATGTTACATGATGTTTCTCTTACATGTTATTTGGGATGTATGACAGATGACGGGGCCGTCCAACTCGCGCGAGCTACGCGTTCTCGCTCTGGTTGAAACGGCTCTGACGTAAGAAAAACACATAACCCACACATACACGTCAGAGACGAGAACTATATTTGTCGAGCATATGCAGCAATGAGTATTAATTGTATCGTACGGCGGCTCTAGTCGAACGAATATACCTCCGTAATCGTCGTTCCGCGCGCGCGCGCGCGGGGCGATTTACATTACTTAATTTTAACTTAATCTCGGTACCTATTAGGCTATTGTTTTTTTACAATTTTATTACGCAGTTTACCTCACGCAGAATATGTGTCGCATGCCCAGTGAGTGTATGTGTATATACATACACGTACATGCATGTGCGCTATGCACGTATGTGTGTATACCTATCACGTCAAGCATTACACACACACACACACACACATACACACGCGCGCATTCTTTATTTTACTTATAATATATACAAAAGAAGAGAATTTTTTCGGTAATTTTCTTATTCATTTGTATTATTATCGTTAATTATATGTAATATTACGCATTTAAGAGAAAAAGGCAACTTTATTAACTTATTTTCCGCAAACCTTCATCTCTCATCCTTCTTCTTTCGACCGACATTTAGCTCGATTATATTCCCTATCGCGACGATCATATATATTGACGTTTTTAGGGTGCAGTTACTTTGTACATACCTTTATCTACGATTGTGTGTATATATATATATTAATATATATTGTGTATATATATATATATTAATATATAATAATACACACATATATATGATATGCGAAACAAAAAACAAACATTAAAAAGTATATATTTTAATATATTACGTATAATGATCTACATAAAATTATAATCTTATTGTTTAAAGTATTAAAACTAAAGAATGATACACGAAATATTTAATAATATTGTTGACCCTTCTTGAACACATGTCGTCTTGTTGTAATCGATGATTGAATAAAATTAAGACAGTGTACAAACAAATGCGATCTTGTGTTTACCACGAAGAACGACCCCCTCCTCCCCCCCGCGCGCGGCGAGTCTTACCTGCTGCAGGATCATAACGAGTGAATACAGTATTCTTTCAATAAATGGAGCAACTTTATTATCAAAGAACCTCTCTATAAAGACGTTGACACAACAGTGGAATCGAAAGTGTAATATTAAATATTACTAATATCTTCATATGACTGCATACGGGCTTGTAATTTTTCTTCTTTCTTTTTTTACACATTAAATTTATGCATACTATGCATAAATCGTGTGTAAGTCCGGTTTGATCGTTTTCACATCGATGAGGAATAATATCGTCTAACGTAACATCTCGTAGGCCCCACCCCTCTAACAGCGTTTGTACTTGATTTAATACAATCCTTCTTATAGACCCTACGCATTCGAGTTATCGTGTAACGTGTTACAGCAACAGCATCGCTTTTTTTCCTACTGGAATAGAAAGATTTCTCTCAACTTGACTCACAGTTCGTGGAAGATACATGTTGGAATGCAACAGATGATATAGAGGAGGTGATTCCTTCTATGTGTGTGTGTGTGTATGTGTGTGTATATATATGTATATATATATACATAACAGGTGTACATAACGGGTTTTCAACAACTTTGCTGGTACAGTCCACAGTCTTGACAAGATTGTATATAAAAAAAGCGTCTTTTCTCGGCTAAACAAGTAATCGTCGTAAAACATTCGTCCAAATCGATTTATACATTACGTCTTACATAGTTTACATAGGCGACTTCAATATAATTTATCTTCGTGCACAAAGACCTCAACGTTGTTTCTGAATCTCAAACGTCAATGTCTGACTAGCAACCGTCAGGATGCAAAACAGTCCCGTTATACTTCGCGGGAAGCTACGATAAAATTAAGTACGTTAATTGCTATTTTATCACATTGGCAATAGGCCCGTCTATGAAATCTTCGTATCCCGTTTTAATATACAAATATGCCTCCCTATGTCTGTCCGTGTGTGTGGGTGTGTGTATGTATATATAAACTCATTTAGCGTTGATTATCGGCGTGTAAAACACCGAGATTAAAGATTGTATAACATATAATATATAGAGTGTGTATATAACTTATATATATTATATATATAATGTATAACTTATATATATATATATCCCTAGGCACAAGGTGAAACACTTTCATACACACGTACGTATACACATGCGCGTATAAACGTGTATGTATATGTATACACAATATATGTATATGTGTGTGTGTATACGCGTCTAATATTTATACAAAATCGTCGAAAGCTTCTTGATATACGAACTCGGCAGTCGGCGTATTGCTAAAATTCACAGAACCAAGGAATGTGGGAAGATTTTCATGCTCACATAATCGTTGAGTACCTGCAAGATCGAACACACACTGTTGTTATCGCGGTGTTTATTCGGATTTCTTGAGAGTAAACTGCCGCTTACCTCTGTGAGAGCGTCTTTCGTCAGTTTAGGGTACTGATACGTAAATCCAGTGGTCTCGGTCAGCTTACCGGGCTGTAAGTACAAGTGCTTGTTGTACAGAAGTTCTTGATCTATGTATGGGGACAGAGGGCTGTTCACTACTCCGTCCTTGTTGCAAGCTTCCGCCCAAGGGCCCATGTGTTTATCGTTCACTTCTTCGACTACGTGACTCATGTCGGCCTGCAAAGCGTACAATATAAATAATGTTCTCTGAATGTAATAATTTATCAATACAGACACGTATATCGTCAAGTATATTACTGCTAATAGGATGCCTTTCAACAAGGAAATTCGGAGAGACACTGTTGTTATACAACTGAACACAGTATATGGATGTTCGATGGAACATCTTCGTTTTCTTCACTAATTGGCGATAATAATACTTTAGCAAATATTACGTATGTTTTCGAATGAAGTGGGTTTTGACCGCTCCAGGAGTAATAAGTAGCATGATAAGAGTAATTAGTAATATCGTAAAACTCTAGTAGCCAATCACAGAATTTAAAACGTCATTAATCGTGTTCTTGGAGCGATTTAAATCTGTTTCGAAAGAAGAACCTAATAGCTTCATTGTCAATTGTAACTTTTATTTATCGCTGTCGAAAATACTTGCTGTTGGCAAAGTACGAGTGCTGTAGAGCATCAAATATAAATTAATGAAAAGTTGGCAGCTATGGTACTGGCACAATTGTTCAACTTTACTCTGCAACTGTGTCAACTTGTATCGCGTTGTGTCATTGCAGAGAGGTGCTTGTGTTGACACTGTGTCACTGTCACATTATGTGCCGCCTGTGTCTTTTGTTGGATAGGTACCCATAATATCGTAATATTATACATTTAATATTTTAATATATTTTAATAAAATAGTACTATATATTAATACACACAAAAGGGCCTGTGTGTTTATCTAACTTCTTAAAATTGCTTGGTTGCGAGATATTCGACTGTATCCAGACTTTCGACCCATCCTGTATATCATATACTAAGAACAATAGTACCAAATCCTCGTCCTACCTTAGCGAGTGTAGACAGTGCAGTACCCCAATAATCATGATTGATGTTGAACAACTCCGAGACTATGGCACTGATGGAACCTTGAGTGGAGTCTCCCTCGTCGACGAGATTATACGTTTGGCCTATTGTTTCCGGCCGATTCGCCACGTGCCAGATAGCTCTAGCGACGTCTCTCACGTGAACCGTATTCATATGAAGATCCGGTCCCCAGAGTAGTTTCATCATTTCCCCTAAATGCTTGTAAACCGCACCTACCACTAATCTCGGTGCTGTAAACAGTGAAGTCGTGTGAATAATCGTTTACCCTGATATTAGTTCAATCAATAGAAGGACCTGAATCTTCCGAGAATAAAGTAAAACATAAGGAAGATCGTTTACCTAAACCGTTTCTGTCACCATAACCGTACACAATGGCCGGTCTAAGTATAGTATACTTCAGATCTGGGATGTTCTTCAACTCGTGCTCCACTTGTAACTTATACTTGGCGACAAACGTCCAGGGTTCACCACTATCCTCTTCCTTATAAGGGGCCTGTGTAACAAGTTGACAATATAACTGCTATGTATTCATATCGTTGACAATATAACCTGCTATGTATTCATATCGTCAAAAGATACTTCCAACGAAGAATCACCTTTTCCGAAATATTAAGATTGCCGGACGATATCTCGACATAACGAGTGACTTTGATTTTGGCTGCTTGTTGGGCACAGTTTAGGCTCAGTTTGTAGATACCTTCTTTATACACTGGGTCTGTGAGGCCGCTTTTAGTCTCACCGGCGCAATTGAACACATAATCGATAGGCTCGTCGGAGGAGAATGCATTTTGGCAGGACGCTGTGATGGAAGAAAAGCGTCAACTTCTCATATATTATCATATGTATCATTTGTACACACATATATACAACATGCATATTCATATTGTTATTATCATACTATTAGCATTGTATTGCACGTTATATTCGCTATAGGTAGTGCTCGGTACGATTACCTATGTTAATCAAGTTAGCGCTCTGGAACTCGAGCAACGGGTGCTCGAAGATCCGCTGGTGCTTCGCATTGAGCCACGCCGTCTGCGGCGGCACCTTGTCCACGACTCTCACGTACGACACCAGGTCGTTGTCCAGCAGGTATTCCACGAGATTACGGCCGATGAAGCCACATCCTGCGCGAGAACGATAAGACTTTCAGTGACGTACGTCACCGACTCCTCTTATCGCTCTTCCGCCGAGCTCGGTCGGAACTGCGATATAATAACCATTGAGAGAGAGAACATAATTACCTCCCAAAACGATCACCCTCGCTTTCTTATCACTGACGGGCGTTGTCATGATGACTGCTTGTCATTTAATCGCGCCACTGCTCGTCCTACCGCCGGGTCTTCGTGACCGTCGTGGGATCGTTGAACCGCGACTGTTTATGGCACTCGACGCACCGCGCTCTCGCCGGGCTCGCCGCTATTCAATTAACCTAAAATTCCCTGCCGAACCTGACAAAGGCACGAAGCAAGAGCCAGTAACCAGTAGGCACACTGTACGCGCACCGCTGCTGCACTCTGTACGGTAAACTACGGAATGAAGAAGCTAACCTAAAGCCGGTCCCTGATGGAAATATGTTGAACATCTGATCGATACTAATTTTTAATCGATAATAACTTTTATCGATAATAACCTTTCCTTTCGGGGCGAAAATGCAAAAAGTAAAAAGTGAAGTGTTTCCAAATCAGAATATTTACACTTTTCACGAATTCCCCCTAAAGACAAAAATTCACGATCAATATTCGAGGGACCATAGATCTTCTCTAGCGTGAAAAGGACCTGAAACTCGTGAAAAGTGTAAATTTTCTAAAAAAAAATGTATCAATGAAATTATTGAAATTGAAAAAATTATTTAAATTTGTTAAATTAATAAAAAAATATATTGATACCCAGTTACGAATTAGGATTGAAATTGCATTGAAATTTTACCAATCAGTGCAAAGTTCACTAAATTTTACCGAACTTTAATGTATTTTGCACTGATTGGCCAAATTCAGTTCCGTCTTAATCTCCAATGCGTAGACTGATCACGGGCTTAATGTAATATGGTGCAGAAAGTGCAGCTGCAAGGATATTTGTTCAAGCACAGTTGAAGGAAGTTGCAGCGCCATCTCGGTTAGTGTCGCCCTTTACTGTTCTTCTCTTTGCTGCGTGTTTGAGAGCGTTCGGGCTCCTTTCCGGTTTATCAAGATGGTAAGATGGTCGACGATGCTTAATTCGGTCGAAAAATCAAACGATATATTATCCAGCCGCCCGGCAATAGCGACGAGTGTACTCATTCGTCGAATAGCGCATACTCTCTTTTAATTGAGGATAAATATTTTTTCCACAGGGTATCGATATTAACCATAAGCATGACAGGAAGGTTCGACGAACGGAACCGAAGTCCCAGGATGTGTATTTACGTCTTCTGGTCAAAGTATGTTACCTTCATAAATTTCCGCCACAAAGGTTTAACTTTGAATCTCTAATTAAACTGTTCGACTCGGTAATTGAACTTGTTCACACTTCTTTGATCTCGTTCTCTCAACTTCGCTCTGAACAATGTATTCGTTACCTGGCGCTGTTAGCGCTCCGTTGAGGTTAGAGTTCACGTTTGATCACATGTGACTCGAAATCTACCTTATTTTTATTGTATTATTGTTACCGTATTTTACTTTCATTCTGTATACTTTGGATCCATTAATGAATTCAAAGATTATGAGAAATATGAAATAATTTTTATATCTTACAAAAACATCTCGTACATTATTTCTGTGTTTAAGAGTGAATTCATGATGTGATATGTCGCTAATATTATTTCTTTTAGCGCAGAGGTCAAAGAAACAAATATATAATTGCGAACTGCACTCTGTGTCAGATCTTACATAGACTGATTCAATTTGAACGTTCGCTAGAGCAACAATGGTCGACCATCCTATCTCGCTTATTTTATGGCATTAAAAGGGCGATTATATTAGTCGATACATCTCACTAATTTTTTTCTCCTTTCAATAAGTTTTCAAGTTGTGGTTGCGAGAAATCAATTTTACACGAACAGAAGCTTGGAGAAACCTTATTTTTCTGTGTGTGGTAACATGACAATAACGGAGTCTCTGTTTCAGTTATACAGATTCTTGGCTAGAAGGACGAATTCTAAATTCAACAAGATCATTTTGAAGCGTCTCTTCATGAGCAAGATCAACAAGCCGCCAATCTCCCTTGCACGTATCGTACGACTGATGAGCAAACCTCACCGTGAGAACTCTATCGCAGTGGTAGTCGGTACCATCACGGATGATGCCAGGATCTTCGAGATCCCGAAATTGACGGTAAATCTGTAATTAATAATTTAAAATAAAATTAACATATTTACAAATAAATATATGATTATATATATACATATATATATAACCGTGGGTGAAATGTTGCAGGTATGCGCGTTGCGCGTGACCGAGAAGGCAAGAGGTCGCATCCTGAAGGCCGGTGGTGAACTGATAACGTTCGACCAGCTGGCGTTACGCGCCCCGACCGGCAAGCGCACGGTGCTGCTGCAGGGGCCGCGTAAGGCGCGGGAGGCGCAGAAGCACTTCGGGCCGGCGCCCGGTGTGCCGCATTCGCACACGAAGCCGTTGGTGCGGTCGAAGGGCCGCAAGTTCGAGCGGGCGAGAGGCCGCAGGCGTAGCTGCGGTTACAAAAAATAAGGTCTATACCAGCGTCATCATTTGTTTCACCATTCGACTCGTCGTCTGAATACCTTACGATAAACGGACGTTCCCTCCGTTGCAGTTTTTTTCACCTCAGCTGAGTGGCTGGGAAATAAATGTTGGCTTAATAACAACTCTCCGTCTTCTATTTCTCTTCTTCGTCACACTCGGGTCCGCTTTACCTCCTGGTTCCATGGCCGTCGGCTTACCCAATCGCCTCTTTCTGGAAGGAGCAATCCGCGTTCTTATGACCTTCTTTTTGTCCCCAAGGTAAAGGAAGCGGTATATACGTGACCTGCGTTTCGTGAATGAAATATTTATTTAGTCAAAATCAAATTCAGATTTTATAATAACAATTCTCGCTTGCGATCCGCGTATAAAATATATTACAACATGTATACAAGGAAAGAGTCCCTACGTATTTAGGGTAGGCCTTAAGCCTAGCTCGATGTCCGCGCGCGCACATATGTATATATATATACTTCTATTTCTTTTTTTTTTTTCTTTACAAATCACGCGTAATACATTAAGCTTCAGAGGTGTGTGGCGTGTGTGTAAATTGCACATTATGTATATCATACAATTTGTACGTTGTGACAATGAACATTGATACGTGATCGTTATCAGGACATGAGTTGACCGTTGAAGCAGTCTCCCGCGAATCTCGCGACTTTATTTATTTACAACAGGCTGATAGCGCGCAAAAGACGAGAGATCCCGAAAGTATTCTTCTCCCTCTCTCTCTCTCTCTCTTTGTTCAGCGGAATTTCACCTCATCGGTGCGAATACAGATACTTTTCGCGATAACGCATTGGCACAAACGACCGGTACTTTTAACACGCGCGACATACAGAACTCTGCCCCGGTTCATTGTATCTCTGTCTGTTTTATATATATATATAAGAATCACCGGTATCACGTTAAAGATCTCGAAATACACAATAATGCGATAGAGTTTACGCTCTAATTAAACTCTCTGATCAACGACCAAATCAACGATCACATTTCGCAACTTCCATGAAAATATATCAAAATCTTAAAAATACCGTATTGCTACGCGTATCCGCTATCCGCGCGGCCTTAATCCTAAGCGTCTCACGCGATACGTCCTCATCCTGTTTCATCCGTGAAAAGGGATCACAAACGGAAGAGGGGGGGACGTTCCTCCGTCGTCGCAACCCCTCAACAAAAGCAGCACGTGTGTAGCACCGCGTACTCCCCGAAATCGAACGTAAATCGTACAGCTAATAAATTCCTCGGAGGAA